ACTGCACACGGTACTCCAGAAGAGACCTCAGCAATGTCCTATACAACCACAACATGACATGTCAATCCCATACTCAAAGGTCTGAGCAATGAAGGCATGCGTGCTAAACTTCTTCTTAACCACCGTTTTGAGATGCAAATTTCAACGAATTACCCCTAGGTTTCTCTGCTCTACAATAATGGCAAGGTCCTCCTGTTAATCATATACATTACAAAGAAATCAATTGGGTCAATGGACTGAAGAGTAGCAGATGGAGTTTAATTTGGATAAATGCGAGTTATTACATTTTGGTAAAACAAACAAGGGCAGCACTTATATAATTAATAGTAGGGCCTTGGAGAGTGTTGTAGAACGGAGGGACTTAGGGGTTCAGGTACATAATTCTTTGAAATTTGCATCACAGGTAGACATGATGGTTAAGAAGGCATTTATCGCGTTTGCCTTCATTGCTCAGACTTTAAGTACAGGAGGTGGCATGTTGTGTTGAGGTTGTACAGGACGTTAGTGAGACCTCTTCTGGAGTACTGTATGCAGTTCTGGTTGCTCTGCTGGAGGAAGGATATTATTAAATTGGAAAAGATTTACCAGGATGTTTTTGGGAATAGAGGGCTCGTGTTATAAAAAATAGGCTGGATAGGCCAGGATTTACTTTCAGTCGAGCGTAGGTGATTGAGGGGTGACTTTATAGAGGTTTGTAAAATCATGAGGTGCATTGATAAGGTGAATAGCAAGGGTCTTTCCCCTAGGGTGGGAGAGTTCAAAACTAAAGGGCATATTTTTAAGATGACAGGAGAAAGTTTTAAAAAAGACACGAGGGGTAACTTTTTTCACACAGAGAGTGGTTCATGTATGGAATGAACCACCAGAGAAAGTGGTGGATGCAGGTACAATTACCACATTTAAAGGACATTTGGGTAAGTACATGAATAGGAAGGCATTGGAGGAATATTGGCCAAATGCAGCCAAGTGGGACTAGTTTAATTTGGGAACATGGTCAGTGCGAACTAGTTGAAGCAAATGGTCTGTTACCGTGCTAAATGACTCTATGACTTTTTGGTTCTCTACAAAAGGTTTCTTAACAGTTTTAGTAAATTTGACATTCAACATATCAAAACAGTGCAGAACAATAATCAAAAAAGTTGGTAGAATCTCAAAACATATAGCAACACATTTTGTTTTCTTTTATTCATTCATAAGATGAGGGCATCACTGCCCATCCTGAATTGCCCAGAGGGCAGTTGAGAGTCAACCACATTGCTGGGGGTCTGGAGTCACATGTAGGACAGTCCAGGTAAGGATGGAAGTTTCCTTCCCTAAAGGACATTAGTGAACCAGATGAGTTTATCCTGACAACAGTTTTGGTGGCTCAGTGGTTAGCACTGCTGTCTCACAATGCCAGGGACCCAGGTTCAATTCTAGCCTCAGGTGACTGTCTGTGGAGTTTGTACATTCTCCCTGTATCTGCATGGGCTACCTCCCACAGTTCAAAGATGTGCTGGCTAGGTGAATTAATCATGCTATTGTACACAGGGATGTTTGGGTTAGACATAGGGAATGGGTCTGGGTGGAATGCTCTTCAGTGGGGCAGTGTGGACTTGTTGGGCTGAATGGCCTGTTTCCACATTGTAGGGATTCTATTCTTAATTCCAAATATTTTACTGAATTCAAATTCCACCATCTGCCATTGCAGGATTTGAACCCAGGCCCAGAATATTATCCAAGTCTCTGGATTAACAGTCTAGCGATAATACCACTAGGCCATCACCTCCCCATATTTAGGGCATGAGGGTCTTGCACAAGTATAATTGAGTGTAATTGTGCAAGCATGGGGTTAGTTTGACAGTTCATCAGGAGTTAGACTATGAATTTAATAATTCAACTTTTGCTGATTAACTACTTACATAATTTTATCAAAACCCTGAGACATTGAGTAAGTTCCAGGCATAGAGGGATTGTCCAGCAGAATGTTCAACTTCCCAGAAAACTCCTTTGGCGTCTGATATGATGGGAATTCCACAGAGTCCCCATGTACAACTCCCTTCTAGACTGGAATAATGTCTGTCTATCCACCATATCCAAGCCATGGTTGATCAAGAGGGGTGACCTGATAGAGGTCTACAAAGTTATGAGTGGCATAAATAGGGTCGATAGTCAGAGGGTTTTTTCCAGGGTGGAAAGATCAACTGCAACAGGGTGCAGATTCAAGGTGAGAGGGGGAAAATTTAGGGGAGAAGTGTGGGTAAAATTTTTCATCCAGAGGGTGGTGTGTGCCTGGAATACACTGCCAGTGGAAGTGGTGGAAGGTGGCACGATAGTAACGTTTAAGGCATACCTTGATAGACAATGAACGGGAGGTGAACACGTGGATAGAAACTGCGCATTGGCAATAAGCAGCAGGTCTAAATAAGGACTAGGAATGCGCACAGGTGCAGGGTCAAAGAGCACAACAGGAAAAGTGGGTTAACCAGTTAACAAAAGAAATTTAGTATTAGATCCAAAGAGAATTGTATAAAGTTGCTGGAAAAGTAGCAAGGCTGAGGACTGAAAGCAGTTTAGAATTTAGGGAAGGAGGACCAATGGCTTGATTAGGAGAAGAAAAATAAAGTGTGAGGGTAAAGTTCAAGGAACATAAAAGCAAACTTTGAGAGCTTCTGAAAGTATGTAAAAAGAAAACTGATTAGTAAGGACAAATGTAGGCCCATTACTGACTGAAATATGAGAATTGTTAATAGAGAACAAAGAAATGGCAGATCAGTGAAATAATTACTAAGTACTGTCTTCATAGAAGACGGTAGAATAAATTTCCCAGAAATGTTAGGAAAGCAACTTTCTATTAAAAAGGGGAAGGGAATTGCAGGACATCAGTATTCATCAAAAAAAAGCGCTAGTGAAAATTGGTAGGAATGAAAGCTAAATAAAACCCCAGAGTCTGATAATCTATATCCCATGATACTAAATGGAAATGGTTGGTTGGCATCTTCCAAAATTCTGTACATTGTGGACAGTCCTGGTGGACTGGATGGTGGCAGATGTAATCACACTGTTTACAAAAGAAGGGACAGAGAAAACCAGGATTACAGACCAATTAGCCTAGTAGGGAAAATGCTGAAGGATGTGATAGCAGGATACTTAAACAAAAACCAACAAGATTACACAAATTAAATATGGATTTATGAAAAGGGAATCAAGTTTGACACATCTACTGGAGGTTCTTGAGGACATAACTAGTAGAATAGAAAAGGCAAAACCAGTAGATGTAGTGTATTCAGAGTTCCAGGGAGCTTTGACAAAGTCTGTGTAAGGGGTTAGTGTGCAAAATCAAGGCACATACAGTTGGTGGCAATACAGTGGCATCGATGGACAATTGTTTAGCAAACAGGAAACAGAGCAGGAAGAAATGAGTCTTTTTCAGAGTGAAAGGCAGTGACAAGTGATGTACTGCAGTGCTTGAGGCCCAGCTATTCACAATATATATTAATGATATAGATGTAGGAATCGACTGTAAAATTTCCATGGTTGCTGATTACACAAAACCAGGCAGGAGTGTGAGTAGTAAGGAGGACATAAAGAAGTTTCAGAGTAATTTACCAAAGTTGAGTGAGGTCAAATACATGGTAGATGCAGCATAATGTGGATAAATGTGATGTTGTTCAATTCAATCACAAAAACAGAATGGCAAAGTATTAGTTAAATGGTGACAAATTATGAAATGTTCATGTACAAAGGTACCTGGTCATTGAAAGCAAGCAGCAAGCAGTTAGAAAGGTCAGTGATATGTGGAGCCTCATTACAAATTGGCGATTGTAATGGTAGTATCTGGGCAATTAGCAAGATGTGATTATATAGTACAAAGACAATGTCAGGCTGTTAAAATGTAAGATAGCTATCCTAATATTGGTGAAAGTTCCCAAATATTTGTGAGCAAGACTTTGCACGGTTGAGGTGTCAGGATGTGTCTTTATCATTTCAAGTGTCTAGGTACATGACTGGTGCTACATTTGCCTTTATTTATTTTTTGACTATTATGCAGTAGTTTGCTACAATTAAGTGGTTTGCCGAACCATTTCAGAACACGGTGACTGACTGTTTTGGGAACATCTCATAATTTGGCCTTTTGCCCTGGATCTGGTCTTCTGGGGATGCATTTGTTCCTGGATTTCTTTTGTCTGAGCTGGCTTTGTTTTTGTCAATGGCCACTGCAGTTTGGTGATTTATGGTTGTTACTGTGGGAGCATGGCCGAGATGTTGTTGGGTGGGGTGTGTATCTAACTGTAGCATCTGAACTGTGTGGTTCAACTTGCCTTGTCAGGAACCCCCCTTCCCATCTTCACTCCTCTAGCCCCAGTCAGGGAGGCGTTGACCTAATGGTGTCATAAGGCACGGTGGCACAGTGGTTAGCACTGTTGCCTCATAGCATCAGGGATCTGGATTCAATTCCAGCCTTGGGTGACTATCTGGAGTTTGTATGTTCTCCCCATGTCTGTGTAGGTTTCCACTGGATGCTCCGGTTTATTCCTACAGCCCATAGATGTGCAGGTTAGGTGGATAAGCCATGGTAAATACATGGTTATGGGGAAAGGGTGGGATGCTGTTTGGAGGGTCAGTGCTGACTTAATGGGAGAAATGGCCTATCTCCACTATTCTATGAACTCCACTTATCAGCCAGCAATTCTCACCAGCAACCACCCTGTCACACACAAAACAGAATGTGTTTTGTATTACTTGCCCATAGTTGGTCACTTGTTTCAGAGGATAGTTAAGAATTGGCTAAAACTTAAAGCAACAGGGGTGAATTTCCCTGGATGGCTAAATTCTAACTATCCTGTGAGGTTGTGAACAGGGTCAGAAAGATTTGACATGTTCTATTATATCAGGGCTGTACTCACCACCAGAATGTGGGCTAATCCCAAAATGCATAACCTCTAAGCAACAAGGTTTCACAATTAAAATATCTAGATTTGCTGAGAATTGCCTGCTCCCCTGCCCTGTGAAGATGATGCACTGATATGGAGGTGCTGGTGTTGGAGTTGGGTGGACAAGGTCAGAAATCACACAATATCAGGTTACAGTCGAACAGGTTTACTTAAAAACACAAGCTTTTGGAACTTCACTCCTTCTTCAGGTGTTAGTGAGAGAGGTAGCATCAGACACAGAATTTATGAGTAAAAGATCAAAGGTTCACAGCACTGAGCAGGATGTATTAAACAAACGTGAGATGCTGTTAAATCTTTAATCGGTTAGAAGGTTTTAATTGATTAATATGTATACGTAATTCCCTGAATTCCTTTCAAGTCATGGTCTGAGAGAACTAAAGCTTTTATCAATGTAAAGAAGTGACATTTTAGGTCAGACATTGCTTGTTTGGTGTGAGGCCTTGTTTAGAATCTGTTTGTGTTTTAGTTTAGAGTCAGACTGGTTTTGCTTCTAAAGTAGTAATTTATAAAACGCCACATTGACTAACTACCTATAAACTGTGTGCTTTTTGAACAAAATAAAATGTATCTGCAAATACAAATTCACCCCATAGATTCACGTGTGTGTCTGTGTGTGAGGGAGAGAGTGAGTGTGAATGTATGCAAGTGTGTGAAAGTGTATGGTGTAGTGGGGTCACCTGTAGTGCGACATGAACCCAAGATCCTGGGTGAGGCCGTCCTCATGGGTACCTCATTGATGCACTGTGATGGAGGAATTTTTTGTGAAGATGCAGTTGAGTAAAGATCGATTAAGCGGAGTGATGAAGATCAACGATGAAATTCAGTGACGGATGACAAACTGCACCACAGACCAACGAAGAAAAGCTGGCGTTGGTCAGACCTTCAAACATACGCATGCGCGGTTCCGCATCGAAAGAACGTAGCCTCAGTTCCCGCGGTGCACCGCGGCATTTCAAACTGAGTGAGCGCGAGACTGAGAACATAGTGAACAGGTGAGGAGCAACTGTGCGCGCGCGGGGGGCGGGGGCAACGGCCCATTACGGCCTATTGTCCACTCCCTGGGAGGGGGTGTGGGGTAACGGCCCATTGTCCACTCCCTGGGAGGGGGTGTGGGGTAACGGCCCATTGTCCTCTCCCGGAGAGGGGGTGTGGGGTAACGTCCCATTGTCCTCTCCCGGAGAGGGGGTGTGGGGTAACGTCCCATTGTCCTCTCCCGGAGAGGGGGTGTGGGGTAACGTCCCATTGTCCTCTCCCGGAGAGGGGGTGTGGGGTAACGTCCCATTGTCCTCTCCCGGAGAGGGGGTGTGGGGTAACGTCCCATTGTCCTCTCCCGGAGAGGGGGTGTGGGGTAACGTCCCATTGTCCTCTCCCGGAGAGGGGGTGTGGGGTAACGTCCCATTGT